CATTGAATGTTGAAAAAAGATGATTTTACTATAGCCCGGGGACAGGACCCATGGGCAGAAAGCTCACTGGGATTGTGAGGAGTGACTGATTATATACTTTATTAGTAGTAGAGGTGAGGGATAGTGTAAGTCTCTAAGGAATTTGGAAGCCAGGCTTTCAGGAATCGAGGGGCTAGCTGCTGTGAAGAAGAGCTTACTTCAGTCTTTAATAAAACACACACATGGGGGCACTAAGGCACCCATGAGGTCCTTGAGGAAGGTCACACCCCGCATGGGTCAGGTGTCTGTCAGGGGCTGCAGCTGGAGGAGATTGACTTTAAGCGACATTTCTCCTGCCTTTGTTTCCCTCATCAGCTGACTCTGTTACCCGGCAGCCTGCCCTTAGCACCCAGGAGTTTCTCCTCAATATGAGAAAACCATACAGTGTGTTCCTGCTTAGGAGAGGCTGGAGGGACTGAATTTAAGAGAATTTGGACTATTTTGTAGCCAATGTTCTTTGAGATTAGTTCAGACTACAGTTTAGACCAAACAAAGGAAGGAGCTGACTTGGCCAAGGAGGGGGAGCAGCACAGGGAGACCCGTTGCTGAGGGACAGCAGGTTTTTGTCTCACTTCCCCACAGGCCGGGAGCACTGTGTGACCTTTGAGACTGCTGTCCCCCGATGCACAGTAATACTCAGCCTCGTCCTCCGCCTGGAGCCCAGTGATGGTCAGGGTGGCTGAGCTGCCAGACTTGGAGCCAGAGAATCGATCCGGGACCCCTGAGGGTCGTTTGTTATTACTATAGATGATGGTTGTGGGGGCTTTTCCTGGGAGCTGTTGGTACCAGCTCACACCATAATAAGCACCCCCGATGTTGGAGCTGCTTCCGGTGCAGGAGATGGTGACCGTCTGACCCAGGGCCCCAGACACGGAGGACGGCTGTGTCAGCACAGACTGGGCCCAGGACCCTGCAAGGGGGGAGAGACACAGAGGGTGACGTTGGGGTCTAGAGACAAGAGGAGAAACAGGGCCCCACAAGTCCTCCCAGGGCCCCTTCCCCTGTCCCTGCATCCAGTCACCTGTGCAGTGAGCGAGGAGGCCGAGGAGGAGAGGGGACCAGGCCATGGTGGAGGTCATCTCCGATCCCGCCTTCTGTGGCCCCACAGCTGTGCAGAGCCTCCCCTCATCTCTCCCTTCCCCTCTTCATCCTCTGAGAGAGGGAGGGCCTGGCCATGCAAATGAGACCCCAGTTCTCTGACCCCTCCCTGGTCCGGGGTCAGGTCCTCTGCTTCAGCATGTCAGGGGATTGGGCAGAGGAGGGGCCGTGTGGGGCCGGGGGTGGGGAGGTCCCAGCTGTGAGCCCTGAGCAGAGGGCACGGGCAGGACCAGGTGGCAGGTCCCAGCTCTGATCAACCCTGACTCCTCAGAAATGGAACCAGAGTGCCCCCTGGTGTCCAGACCCAGACACATCATACTCTGACATGGTGACCAGAAATCATCAGACACATGTCCACACACCCCTCAACTGTTTTGACCACTGTTCCCTGCATTAGGTCCTGACCAGGTGTCCCTGTATGTCACCTCCCACTGTGTCAAGAATCACTCTATGTCATGCTAAGAGTCTTCAGAATGAGTCTGTCCATGGCTCCCTTCTCTGTTCCTGGGTCAGGACTGAGGTGGTCTCTCTACACAAACTCTTCTAGATCAGGACCCAGTCCAGAGCAGTGACAGGTCCCCATGGACAAAGGGTCACTTCTGTGCAGGATGCTGGGAATTTCCTCTTATGTGCCTTCTCCCTGATTACCAGAGCTCTACTTCTTCTGAGGCCCCCACAGCACTGAGGAAATGGGGAGCTCTTCTCCCCAGATTGTGGGTAGAAGCTGCCACGTGCATTCCTAGAGGGTTACACACAGAGCATCTTTGTCACCTGTCACTGTTTCCCACTGTTTGAAGCAACAGTTGTCCACACATTGGGCAGGGATTACCTCTTCAGCTCTGTCCTCCCAGCACAGACACGAGTCTGCAGGAGCCCTGCCACGTGAGTGTGGGTGGCCCTGACGTCAGAGCAGAAAGGACAAATGTGCTGGAAGTTCCAGGAAGAAAGGAGTGACAGCTGTAGATGCTCTGACAGGGACCTAGTGACAGAGTTTATGTGTCAGTCACCATGGAGCCAACCTCATTTTTAAGATGAACGTGTGTTATTTTATATGTAATTCTATTCAGTAAGATTAATTTAAACTCAACGACAATGTCCGTGTGAAGATACCAGTACAATCAGGAGTGTACTTTCCTCAGATCTGTGCTTAGTGCGGAGAGAATCTGGGTGGAAAGAGTGGTTAAACACATGGATGGAAAAGAGTGGAACAAAAATGCCTTCTGTTCTCAGGAGAATACGGGTTTATATTCTTTTTCTAAAATCACTTATTTGTCCCATGTGTCTGGTCTCCCAGGTAGGAAAGGTCAACGTGGTGCCCAGTGAAACCCCTCAGGGGCCTGTTCCTATGAACTCAGAACCATCCTGATGAGAAAATTACCAAACACAGACAGAACTTCCAGGAAGGAGTGATTTGGGGTCAGACCACTCTCTGGGGTGAGAACAGCTCTAGGCCCTGCACTGTGCCCAGCATGTTCTGGAGGGACCCTTTATTCATTCAGCCACCCATGACTACTACCCAAGGCCAACTGGACCCAGAAGTTTCTGTCAAAGGTCCCACATGTGAGTGGTGGCAAGGTGGAGCTAAGGGGGAAGGTGTCCCTGAAGTCACAGGCCCCGTGGCCCTGGGTTGGGACAGAAGACTTTGCATCAGAGTGCAGCCTGGCTGGAGGTGTCAATGGGGTGACTGAGGGAGGGACAGCCCGGGGCTGAGAGCACAGGGAGGGTGTGTCTCATGTGCCCCATGGGCCTTGAGCTCCAATCAGCAGCACTGAGCCTTGGGTCCCAGAATCAAGGTACCGATCAGCCTCAGGCCCTGACTGGAACCCAGAGGTGATGGGGGGCTGAGCTCCCCATGGAGACAAGAGATTCCCCCTGGGATTCCTGAGCATCAGCCTCA